ATGCCTACCCTTGCATACGTTGCTAGAGGTAGGCCAACCCTTTCCTACATTGCTAGAGGTATGCCAATCTTTGCATACGTTGCTAGAGGTAGGCCAACCCTTTCCTACATTGCTAGAGGTATGCCAATCTTTGCATACGTTGCTAGAGGTAGGCCAACCCTTTCCTACATTGCTAGAGGTATGCCAATCTTTGCATACGTTGTTAGAGGTAGGCCAACCCTTTCCTACATTGCTAGAGGTATGTCAACCATTTCCTACGTTTCTAGAGGTATGTCAACTCTTTCCTACATTGCTAGAGATAGGCCAACCTTTTTATACGTTGCTAGAGGTAGGCCAACCCTTTCCTACATTGCTAGAGGTATGTCAACCCTTTCCTACGTTGCTAGAGGTATGCCAACCCTTTCATACGTTGTTAGAGGTAGGCCAACCCTTTCCTACATTGCTAGAGGTATGCCAACCCTTTCATACGTTGCTAGAGGTAGGCCAACCCTTTTCTACATTGCTAGAGGTATGCCAACCCGTTCATACGTTGCTAGAGGTAGGCCAATCCTTGCCTACATTGCTAGAGGTATGTCAACCCTTTCCTACCTTGCTAGAGGTATGTCAACCCTTTCCTACCTTGCTAGAGGTATGCCAACCCTTTCCTACATTGCTAGAGGTATGTCAAACCTTTCCTACATTGCTAGAGGTATGTCAACCCTTTCCTACATTGCTAGAGGTATGTCAACCCTTTCATACATTGCTAGAGGTAAGTAATTATTTAAAATAGCAGTTCGATCACCTCTCCTCCTAGACCGAGACCGGCAGTGCTTCATAAACTATTGCAGTGTCATTCACCATCGAGTCTTTGTCACAAAATCTCATTCACTTGCGACTATATTTCCTCATGTTTTTGGTAATTTTCGGCTTACTCTTCATTGTGTGTATTTTTAAATATAATTAATTTTGTCACATGAGCAAAAATCTAACTCATGTCTTACGAAAGTGACTCATTTGTTAAGTGTTTGTTTTATTCAACCCTTTGAACATCATCAATATATGTAAAGAAAACTAGTAACAAACAAATTTAAAATAGAAAAATTATTAAAATATTTTTAGTTACGTGTGTGTCAACGGTTTACAAGTGGAAGTTAATGTTAAGACTAACGTTAAGCATAGTGTTAAGACTAATGTTAACTCTAATTTAGTTTCTGACAACGGGCCGCTGTGTCCCTGTCGATCACGTCAGGGCACGTAAGTCTGCAGGAAACCCGACGGTCTCCACAGCAAGAGACTGAACCCTAGAAGCAAGAGACTGAACGCTAGAAGCAAGAGACTGAACCCTAGAAGCAAGAGACTAAACGCTAGAAGCAAAATTTTAAAGTAACGTAGATACTCTTGTAATAGATGTTATATATTTCCACACACGAGCGTA